GCACTGAAGCATGGTATCTGTCCGGAGGAGGCGTATCATTCATTCTCTGACGAGAAGACACGAGCACGCTTCGCGTCTGATTAACAATCCATGAGCGCGTTTTAACATGTCTCAATAATTTACAATCAAAATTTATGAAATAACATGTTCGAGCTTGATAAAACTCGACGCGAACATGTTCTCTCACGAATTTTAGTAGTAGATCATTGATTAGACGTAACTCGTGCCTTTGTCAAAGAAAATTAGGTCCTTACACAAGTTTTTTTGGCTAAAACGCAAAGCTTTTATCGTCAATTATGTTGAACATGAGATTGATGTTGCAAATGCGATGCATTGCTCCGTCATCGAATTATCACATTATTGCCATGCTCGGACGTGTTCTAACGCAACGGCGAAAAAATGTAATGCTAAGACAAACAAATAGCTTGTTTACAACGCACAGTATATATGTAAAGATCTGTGCCCGAGAGAGGATCCCTAGATACCATCAATGTAGCTGCCTTTCAATCGTTCTAACATGAAGACTTCGAATAAGCGTCTCAAATTTTGCTTTTAACGTGTTAAAAATGATCGAAAGGCCACGTTGATCGGACCAATGCGAACCTCTTTTGAACTCAAACCATATACCTTTGGATTCAACGGGATTGGCGGCTGTAATGCGGAGCTTCGAGGCCTAATCAAGGTTAGAGAATGATCAGAGAGCACAATTGCGAAGGAGACGCAAACTGCGTCGTGGGTGCAAGCGGTCGCCTTCCAGCCTCAATCCCGTTGAATCAAAGGGTATAACTTGGGCAATTTTTTGGCATAGACTTTTTTCTTCTACAGGGTTGTATCTCAATTCGTTCTATTTCACCCAAAAGACCAATTTAAAGTATTGTCTTCCATTTTGTACTCATAAAATTTACAAAATTATGTTAAGAATTGCTCCCAAGTCTAACGACTGCGCCTTAAACCTTGCTACTTTCAGGCTTTCATTTATTAGTTCTTATTTTTCTCTTCCTGTCGATTCTTCTTATACCTTTAGGAGGAGTTTATAGTTTACAACAAAGAGCTCCTTCTTCAGATGGTGTTTCTTTGCTCATTTTTGCTAACATATTCGCGCATCATCTCTAACAGTGGATACAGGGCTTATCAAACGCAGCGTCGCTTGCATCAGCATCCCCACTTCCGCACTGGACTTTGCGTCTCTTCCGCGAACATGCTCTTTTATCACTTTCCCACCACAAGAGTGGTGAGAAAGTGATAAAAAGCGTGGTCGTAGTTGGGTAATCTGATAATAGTGATAACATGATATTCGTATCATATCCATAATTAGCATGTCAATCAACCCCTATAGACAAAGTTTGAGCGAATTCTGAAGATTCAAGATACTAGGCTACCTAAGTGAAATGGTCATTTTCCAACATGATTAACTTTGTTTCAAAGGTGAATAGCTATCCGTTCTTGCACTCAAGACAAGCACTATTCCTTCTTTGTCCATCTCAGAAATCCCGCTTCAAAAGACCTCGAAACTGTGGAACTAGAAGCCAACCAAAATCTCACTTTCCCTATTTTTCGCTTTCAATGGCTGTGCTTTCACCAAATATTACTCAAAGCTAAGAGGACGAATCAAGTTTAAAACATACTGTGGCAGCCACAGCTTTTAAGGGGGCGTGCCATACCCCATTAACTATATCAAAAAAAACATTTTCAGCGAACGCTATTTATATGAATCGATGGCTTAAGCCTCGTAGATTCCATAGGATTGTTTTAAGCCTGCTTCGTCTTCTTAGCTCTGAGTAATATGTGGTGAAAGCACAGCCATTAAAAGCGAAAATGGGAAAAATGAGATTTTGGCTGGATTCTAATTCCACAGTTTGGAGGTCTTTTGAAGCCGGATTTGTGAAATAGACAAGGAAGGAGTAGTGATTTGTCTTGAGTGCAAAACGGGTAGCTAATTCACCTTTGAAACAAAGTTAATCATGTTGGAAAATGACCATTTCACTTAGGTAGCCTAGTATCCTGAATCTTCAGAATTCGCTCAAACTTTGTCTACAGGGGTTAATTGACATGCTCATTATGTCGAACTCTGAAAAAGTTTTTGCTTAAAATTAGTGGCTTGAATCACGATATGCTACAGTAACTCTGCGTGCCATTTCCCACATTTTCGCGACATTCGCGACGTCATCCATTCCATGGAAGATTTACTTTATTCATGTAGAAGAGCAGGGCCCTGCACGAGGTGGTCAAATGTCAAGCTGGAACTTTTTGATGGAAAGCAGTGATATTGTGAATTGATACAATGCACATATACTCTCTCGACAGTTGCTAGACGTCAGCGTCACCTTCACAAATTTTTTTCTTTGAGTTGTAGTAATGTCTCATTTATAGCGCACTCATAACGATGTGACTTAGAGTTTGGACTATAAACGGACATGGACTAGGAAGAGCATAGCGCAGAGTATTGTGGAAAAAACTTATGTGATTTAGATTGTGGCAAGCTTTCTTCTGAAAATTTCTCTGCATTCAGAATGATAAAATGGGTCATTTGCAACGTACAGATGGCGATATGACATGATTAGGCGTGTGTACGCGCAGTTGGACCAAAAGAATAAAATTTGAAAAACTATAAGAAACTTATGCGAATAAAGAACAGGCTCAACTTTCTTCAAGATTAGGTGGGCAATCGCCTCCTAATGCCCACCTGAGGCAGGCAAAACTTTCGTCTCACATAAATTTTTCAAGACTTCTACACAAATCCGTTCTACACCTAATGCTTACTGTATAGCAGAATTTTGGTTTCAAAACTCCTCCTCTACTCCTTGTTAGGATGCGAAATAGCAACGTCGCTGGTCCTATTGAGAAATAGGGGTGCTCCAATCGAACAATCTATACAGCTGGCGATATCAAGCGTAGAATCATAAAAATCGATACAAAGGCGAAGTCGTTTCACCAAATGTTCATTTGCCACGTGTGTGCTGAGCCTTGCAGACGAGCCGATTTCACACTGTTGCGCAAGAGTTACGCTAGCATACGCGGGTCTACAGTGGCGTAAAAAATTGTTTTCGGATGCATCAGTTTTCATTTTTTTTTTGTTCTGAGTGTTGAAATAGAATCGGATGGAAACTTACGAAATGCAATTTTTGGGAACCAAATAAGAATCTTCAGGAAAAATCCTCTTGGCTATGAGTCATTGGTTCCTCTGATCTGTGAAGAAGTGCAAATTCGTTTTACCTTAGACAAATTAGTTCACTGAGAAAGCTGTTTCTGCTGTAGTATAAAGTACAAAACTATAAATAACTTACTTTTTTCCCGATACCATCTCCTCCCCCCCCCCCCCTCTCCTCCATTTTTACATGATGCAGCGCACATAAGAAGTAGCCATACCTATTTTAGGCGAATGACAAATGTCTTAGAGATACAATCGTTTCCTGCTAATCCAGTCTAGGTTTTACGCTTCCTTGTTCTTGCACTTCAGTGAGAGATGGTGAAACAAAATCAAGTATCAAGTTTATTGAATTGCATTCATGCAGTGGTAGTATATGTATTTGTAAATATAAATCTTCTAGACAGTGACTTTCAAGTCTATGGCAGTCAATGCTCCTCTTGCGCTACGTTATTACCTCTCTCAATGTGAGCATCTTTCTGTCTCAAATGGGAGGAATACAAAGGCAATAAAACTTTGCTTTTTTCCCATCCACTCTACGCCTCTCTCCTCACTTCTTTATGAGATCATTCGATACGCAAATGCAGGATCAATATTCATAGAGTTTAGTAGAGAGTAAAGGTTTTGCAAAGTACACCAAAACTAGAACGATTTGCAAAACGCTACTTAACGATAATACGGTCCTTCTCTGCAAAGACAAAAAGGAAATTTATTGCTCAAAATCCAGCCATAGATAGAATGTAACAGTCTTTGTAAGGAGGGTTAGAGTGAAATATTAATGCTACATACTTTGCTTTTAAAGTGTAAGAACGCAAAGCTAAAATTGTATACACCTTTTTTGTCGAGAGGAGATTCATCTCGATTGCGCTGTCAAGTTTTTAGGATGATGCATCTTTTCCCTTTGTCTTCCTTTTTTGGGATGCATCTAGAAACTTACAAAGTTTGAATAATTAAAAAGTTCTTTCTGTCACCTTTACGCTACATAAATACTGTAACAAATAATGAACTAATACTATGACGAACTCTGTTCACAAAAAGCAAAAAGCAAAACTCTGTATCGTCGTCTCCTCGGCGTACGTTGGGCGGAGCCTGAAACGCCCTTACGGACTTACGCCCTGCAGCACGGCTGCATCGGCGGCGCCGATCAATATCGGCAGTTTATTTTCCGTTTGCGACGACGTGCAAGACGTTTGTTCCATGCAATTCAACCGTTTTTGTTCCAGTTTCGACATAACTCGACGATAACTGCTGGTATTGGAATGTGATTGGGATTTTGGCAGGATCTTATTTAGATATTCTGCTGTTTTGCTTGCTCGGATGCACCTGTTAATTGTCGCATACTTAAATTGAAATTTTCCTCATTATACCTTCTTCTATTCCTCAACATTATGTTATTGTTTGGTTTTAATCTATTTTGTATTGTAGATTCTCTTTTTTACAGGTTGTAGATTTTACAGAGATTGTAGATTTTCACCATTTTAACAGAGAATGCCCGCCTCATTTGGTCAACTCTTCAGTTCAGCAATATCATATGCTTTTGACTCTGTATGAACTGAATTTGGATTTGTCCCAGATCTATCCACATAAAGAAATTCAAAGAATAATTTTCATCAAGTCTTAGGCATTCATATACTTGGAAAGTTTGATGATATTGTAACTCTCCATCCTCGGACACTTACGCAATTGTCTTACGCTATTTATCACGGTTTCAAGTGATGATTGAATACTTATTTTCTTACAGCTGATGGCATAAAACTTTAACAAATCACATTGAATCAACAACAATCAAAGGATTGCTACAGATTCATTGAGTTTTATAATACATAGCACTATAGTAAAACAGTATTGAGTATCACCTATATACTTGAGAAGTCTCCCAAAAACAAATGACAACAATGCAAATTATCAAGTAAAATGACACCTGCAGTAGGAGGAAAGAATGACCAGTAAGTGAAAATATAAATAGAACAACAACGATGACGGCTGTTTGCAGTAAAAACGATGCGCTTTGCATGACTCCTTTTTCGGCTTGCAATACATCTTCGTTGCGAGAATCATCATTAGCAAGAGAGAAACGTAATGGTTTCCTCAGGATACACTGCAGAAAATATGTTCCAATCGCTTTTGTATCTATCATCCAGAACGTATTATTACCTGAGATAAATTCGATTGAAGGTGACAAATATAAACATATAATAGCTAAACATTGATTTCCTGATGCCGCTTCTTTTCCTTTCAAAAAAATGAGAAGGAAAACGAGTATAACTCAGTCTCACTAGAAAGTCACTCACCGACGCACTTGTAAATAATTAAAACAATTTTTTAAATTTTTTAAAAATTCATTTTTGCCTTATAAATCACTCCAAAATTTTTTTCGGAGTGCGTGGCTAACGCCAGGCACCTTCTTTGAAAAATTTTTTTGTCGCCCCCCCCCCCCCGAGCCGAAATCCTGGGTACGCCACTGGTATACGCAGAAATTCAAATCCCAATCGTAGGAAATTCCCATGCTCAATCTCTCGTTCATCATTCATCTAAAGCACATCTCATGAAATTATCGAATTCATGAGGAATGATGAACTAATTGTAATTGAGCGAATTTCATTGTACGCGTAGTTAACGTAAGGTAAAAAGGAATTTCTAGCAGACATCAAGGTGAAACACGGCAAAAAAAAACTCTTCAAGTTCCAGAGTTAATGAAATCAAAGCAAATCATGAGAGATATAAACAACGCAACATACCTTCAATTCGTAATCGTTCAAGGCAACATGACCTTTCTCAGTAACTTTCTTCACAACAAATGAACTGCTTTCAGGAACAAGGACAAGTTTCAGCAATTTCTGAAAAGGAAATCATGGGGCGTGTGCCCAAGAACTCTGAATCAAAGTTATTACCCTTGACAAGGTCGGGTCTTCGACCAAGATGTCGCTGCCTGAGTGCCTTCCGACAGTACCTCCACAAATCGTGACATGGAGATGGTATTTGAAGTCAGTGATAAGTAGCAGAAGCGGTTGAGAAAAACCTTCATATACGAAGCCTAAGATATGCTTCAAAACATATCTTTGTACATGTTAATTCCAAAAAAGTCGAAGATATCACAACAAAAGAATTGAAGAGATCCTAAATTTATAAGAATTCTCTTTGAAATCGTCAGCTCACCTTCTCTTATTTGGATCCCCTCATCTTCTTCTTCGCCTTGTATCATTATCAACTTCATCAGGAACCAGGCCATTCTTCATAGCTTCTCTAGCTTTTCTCCTGCGCTCTTTCCGCCTTTTCTTACTAGTTGGCTCTAGAAAGGGGTACGATCGAGCAGAATTCTATAGCTCTCAGGTCAGTACCTTTATGCATGTTTCCGGGAACTGTAACCATCTCTCCCATAGCTTCGTCAAAATACTCTGTCGATGGAACAGCTTTCTCATGTACGATCATCTGCAACACATCTATTCAACAGAAACTCTTCTAGGTTGGGTCCTTTGTTTAACTACTCATAGGTTATCCGTGCGATTCGCTCTTTGAATCATCATCAACCACCTCATCCTCGAGGCGGAGCTTCGTTGTAAGATCGAAGACAACTTAGCATACATCGAACGCATCTTGATCGAATTGGTCTAGCGCACCAGCAAACATTTCTTTAGCTTTTCTCTTTTTAGACTTGGAAGACCATTGCGCTAAAATGGCATCGTCAGTTATGGTGCTAAATGCAACAGACGCCCACCATGGTGATAATTTGCATACAAATATCCTGAAATGATCTCAGGTGACTAACAAATCACACAAAAAGTGAACGAAATGGAGATATTTACAACTGATTAGACCAGTTTCTATCATTTTTTGCAATCTGAACTGTTTATACAGAGAAAAATGAGATGGAATATGCTGACTATAAATATAAAAGGAGGAAACTTCTTCATCCTTTTTCACTCACAATATTATATTATAAAATTAAAGTATTTTATTATAAATGTAACTGAAATAATTCTCGAAAATCTAGGAAATTCCTCAAGGAGGTTTCACGTATGGTTCAAAACATGAGCATACATCATCAATGACCGGGTGAAAAACCCAGTAGATCCAGAATTCGTGAAAGTTTATAGACGTCCTAAACCCTGTCCCTTTTCCTGTTCAGAGTTAATCCCACCTTGTTTGCACTAGCTCGCGCCACGTATTGCCGAACATAACGTCTCCCTTCCACAATTGCTGCTACCCCTGCTCTCCTTCTCTGGTCTGTTTATGGCGCTGACCCTGATGCCCATGGTTTGCCAACCTGTTAGCCATACGTGCCATAAGACAGAGACGCAGAGCAGGGCTAGGATTAAGGAGGGGGATAAGATGATAACATCATTTGATCACTTGTCATGATGCAGACAAATCGAGCGAATTTTGTGAGTCGGCATACAGTTTATAAGTGATGCTATATAACTATGTTTAGTCATCTATCGCGTGCCGCCCAATCCTTGGTCGAGAAGGATTTAATCAAAACAGAACCGGGGTAAAATCCTTAGTCTCAAGCTTCCTGAACATAAACCTAGACGAATATAGTTACAGGCATCCGCAGAAAGTGCAGCGCCACCAAGAAAGAGGGTAAACAAGACATTTATCATTTCGTATATTTTTGAATTCAATGTCGGAAATTAGTAAATTTCGAAGACTAAACACCTGAGATTGTCGATAAAAATAGGCTCAATTTCAAATTACTTTGTAACTACTCAGATAATCGCCGGGGGCAAGCGGCGATGCGATTTATGGGCAGGCGGGCACCGGAAAAATAGTTCGTTGATTTTTTGCGGCCCGCTTGCAGAAATTTGGAAGAAAGTTGGCGAAATTAAAGACGAAAGCTTGAAGAACAATCGCGGTTTCTTTATGGATTAGCTGCGGCGCAGTGGCCGCATTCTCGTGGACTTTCCGCGAGAATATGCAAAAATTTTGAGGGCCGCACGGTCCTTTGTGGAGGACCGCTCAACCCTCAGGTACTTTCCGCTGAGAGAAAGTACCTCAAACTTGAGTAACTAAACCAACGGTGACACCTCTGCCACACAGAGTCTTACCTGCACTCGACGTACGCCCGAAAATGCCTAAAAAGAGTCCGAGCGCTTGCTGAAAATTTGGCCAGCGCTCGCTGAAAGAAATTATTTGCGGAGCGCTTGCAGGAAATTTTGTATTGCTGCCCGCTGGCAGAAGACGAAAGTACCGCCCGCTGAAGGTTTGGCCACGCCCCAAAATTCTGCTGACCGCCTGCAGAAAAGCGCGAGTTTGCGGACCGCCTGCCCCCGGCGATTATCTGAGTACAACGAGATCTGACTTTCACCTCTCAGAGTGCAGTTGAATCTGTTGCTACCGAAGCCAGAAATCCGTCGAATGCAGATGAGATATCACCAGTAAGTTCGAAAATCCAAGACATCCCAGCAGAATTAAATCTACACTTTATTACTAGGATGCGCACCAGGACCTGGCTACTACACTACGCAACTTGAACTTGCGTATGTTCAAATTCCCCCAGGATGACACGGTAATGACATCTACGCATCCCTATCTCGACGCCAAATGCAAGGCCATTATTGGCAATGTGAAGGCATTCTTCGAAGAACTGAAGAGAAAACTCGGAAAGGAGTGCATTGGGACGATATTCAATGCCTATACAGAGCTAACGGCCATAGCATGTGGGGTGTCCACCACTGCTGTAAGAAATATCAGCGTTGACGCTGGCATTCGTCAGCCAATTCCAGTGATACGGCCTAAGGCTGAAAGGATGCACGCATCGACGAAGAGAGGCAGTGAGGGCGTTCGGGCAAGAATGGGGAGAGAGATTGCGGCACTTGGTTCACGAGAAATTCCGGGAAGAAAAGAACGTGACCACAGCAGAATTGCGGTCTGATATGATGGAAAGGTACCCCGGATTCGAGATGGGAGAGACCACCTTTTATTATTTTTTTACGTGGCCTTAGGTTCACATATAAACTGAAGGATGGCTAAAGGTATATATTTGAAAAGACGGACATTGTAGACAAACGAGCCCATTACTTGAATAAGGTGGAATCAGCACGCCACGAAGATCATTGTCTCGTCTTTATAGACGAGACCTGGGTTTACGATGGTATGACACGAACCAAGGGCTGGAAGGATACAACGATCCCAATTTGCCCCAATTTCGGTGATCGCAGAATATTCGGCCGGCTTGACTGCTGCGAGAACTAAGGGACGACGGGCGATCGTCATCGAAGCAATGAGCAGCGAAGGCGTAGTAGCCGGCTGTACAAAAGTGATAATAAGCGGGGGCGGGCATGTGGATGATGTGCACAGGGATATGAACCATGAGATCTTCGAGTCCTGGATCCGCGAATCCTCGCCGTACATGCTGAGTTTGGCAAATGGACGACCTTTATCCATTGTGATAGATAATGCGTCGTATCACTCCCGCCAATTGGAGAAGGTTGGCCTAGATTTTCCTCAAAAACAATTGTTGTTAATCAATGAAGTTAAGATACCGACACGCCGTTCAAGTAGAGCTGCCATAGAAGCCTACCTCTTAACTAAGGGGTTACAGTCCCAGAAGGCTCTACAAAAAAGGATCTCTTAGCGGAGGTAGAGATAAATGATCATTTAATCAATCCTAAAAAACAATATTCTAGCTGAACATCTACATCTCGAACCATGGCGGCATATCTGGATTACGCAAATATGCCGTAGAAGAGATCTGCTAGGAATTTGGAGCAGCAGTGATTAGGTTACCACCATATCACTGCTGCTTCAATCCCATCGAATCTTGCTGGAGTCATTCAAAAGGGCACCTGACAAAGCAAGGCAATCCATCTGAATCCCTGCAGACGGTAAGCAGCAATGAACAAAGGGGATGACCACGCAAGCTCATTTTTAGATGAGAACGAAAGCCTTGGAGTGGATGGAACGAGTACCATCGGATTTCTGCGAGCGTTGGGTATCCCACGCAAAGAAGGAGGAAGACGCAGCAAGGCTGCAGTTACGCCATGATCGCAGTGCTCGCTTGAGGGTTGAGCATATGATGGAAGCATGGGGTTTAGAAGACAGTGGGACTTCCTCAGAAAACAGTGATTCAGACCTAGACCTAGAATTAGATCAAGAAGAAGTCTAAATTACTTTTCTTTACCCGGTAAACATAAAGTGGATTTTGTGAAGGCTACTCCACAGTTAAATACCTTCCGTCATACTCGTTGCAAAAATAAAAGTACTGATGCAAAACCCCTAGGGATCCTCCCGCCTCCTTTTCCGCATTCAGCTGAGCCGTTGCCTTTATGGGCTACACAGGAAAAACATATGATAGTTGAAGGACAAGAGAACACGTCCACCTAAGAATAAAAGCAAAAAAAAACAAAAACATAAAAGGAAAGGAAATTAACGTAAAAGAGAAAGCGAATATATTAGTGTACAACCGGACACAAAACTTACTTTGATATCCCAATGGGTTCTTGCACCAAGATTATAGCCGAGACACTCGAAAACTTCACGTAAAATTCCACCGATATTTGTCACTTTCAACAAACAATTCTTAGCTTTTTGATTATCGGTCTTCTGAAGGGAGATTATGATGAATTCTGCAGAAATTGTCATTTATAACTATCCAATAAAACACTATGGCACACGCCATACTTGATTCGCATGATCAGACAGATTTAGGGTCAGCGCTTCGTGCTGCATCTAACGGTATGCAGCTTCTTTGGATTAGCCACTTCGATATCTGACCATTCCCTTATAAGTATTAGATTTGTAAGCAGACAAACCATACGGATAGAGATGAAAATCAAAAAAATGCGGCTGCCAGAAGTGCGTGCACGTCGCGCGCGGTTGCGCCATCGTCACAATTTTTCGAATGCCCTATATGAGGAGTTGTTAGTTTCAAAATGTATTTATTCGAAGCTCGGACAATCTCAGATAAGCGATTCATTGATAGGTACATAATAATATTATTCGTTATTATTATTCATGTCAGAACTCACGTTGGCATACCCCTTATTGATCCATCGATATTCCGGCGCTGCTCCGGAACGGACATATTACGAGTGATCATTTGCAGATTCAGCCAGTGGTAAGCTGATTCTTTACTTTGTAATATGCTAGCAGAGCCTATGTCAGTAAGTATGCTGGAGGCTGTGCAGGGCTTAGTTTTTTCAAGCAATGGAAGCTCAACAATAGGGCTTTTTATTCTAATATAGGGACCTATTTAGAAGAGACGAATTTGCGACACTGACTTTCACTCGAAGATGTTCACCGTTGAAAGGCAGTCAAAAGCTCCTTTTTTTCAGTCATTGCTATGAGCAAAGAAGGACAACTTGCTACAGAAAGCCTCAAAAATGCCAGGAAAATTAGTAGAATATCTGATGCCATCACTTCACATAATAGAAATATCATAGTAGAAGCACTGTGTCGAGAACCTGATTGAAAGAATGGCAAACTGAGCA